GAGAGGAGAATGAATCTGTATCAAATTGAAAAGAATAAGCCATCCCAAGTGTTTTGAACTTACAAGGTCAACTCTCAGAATCTGATGTCTGACATGTTGTAAGAAGCAATAACAAATATAAGTAGTTAGAAAAATGCAACTAGCTAACTAGTTCATGCACTTACTTAGGTATTTGGGTTTCCTTAACACGCTTTAAGAGACCATTAGTTTGGATAAGTACAAAACAAACTGTCATGTGTGATTAGATGAAAAAGCACATGTGCCTGCATGAGTTTGTTGCTCCCCCTATTTTTTTTTTCCTTCTTGTTTAATGTACCATTTATGAAACTTTAATTAACTCTGCCGTGTAACACAGAACATTGATGATGGGCTTCAGGCTGTAGAAGGATCCGAAGACAGCGAAAGCTGCATTTATATGGCCTGCAATGTTGTTGGGCCCACAAAAAATGACTTAATGGGTACAGGCAGCATATACAGTGGATGTCAGTTCGAGGATTGGTTGGCTTCACCATCATCATGTGATCATTGTCCTGTCACAAAAGATTGATTAAACACTACAAATCTCTCACCTGAATGGCCCAAGACAACCTCAGTGTTCTCATAATTTTCTTGCATTATATAGCCGACATGTCCAACATTCAGATTGATGGTTAGGCTTTCTTTTGTCTGTAACAAACAACTAGGGAACATTTTTAGGCTGCAGAGAAACCTGCCAACCCCAAGTTTGGCCTATTCACTTCCTTGGGGTATATGGACCTAGTGCTGCAAGTTCATATATGGACTAGCTTTTGCATCAAGCAAAATTAGTTAGCAAAAGATTTTTCATATTTGTGTAAGCCTAAGAGCTAAGTAGTAAAAGTTGACTCAATTTGCTATCATACTGCTTAAAAGTGCTATGGATAATGTTCTTTTGTCAACGAACTAAATTGACAACCCGTGACCAGCGGTGACCTAACCCAACCCAACTCACCCATATGTAGTGCATCTAATTGGCCTTTTTGGCAAAGGTTTTTTTTCCCTGGAAAAGAGAGGCCACAAATGCACGCCTTACAGAGAGATAAAAATTTTTCGGAAAAGTTACAAACTTCCCACTAACCAAATGCACCCTAAGAGACACCTGACTAAAAATAAACTAATAGTAATCATATATGTTTAGGCTTGTGAGGTTCCAGACTTCAATTATTGTGCTGGAGAAGGAAAAATTCTGTGTAAAGAAAACAAGATCATTGCCACTAGCTAGTCTTAACACAGATGGCATTTAATGGATTATCTAATCTCAGTTAGATAAGATAGTAACGCACAACTTCCCACTGAATTTGCTGGAAGCATGTAAGTCCAAATTCCATCAATCACCCAACAAACATAACTATCCAAAGCCTTATCCTACCACCATGGCATCAAACCCTTCTTTTTTTCTTCCATTAAACATTTCCTCGATTCCACTGGTTCCCCCTTTACTTAAAGGATTGATGTCCATATCAAAGCATTAGCACCCAACTGGAGAGAGATTTTCAAGTGGTTTGCTGCAATTGGCTTTGGGTTTTCCATTTTTCAATAGAATTTGGCAAAGTACTGATGAAGTCTTCCACTCTTCTTGTACACATATGAGATTTTAACCCCACTTTTCCACTTTGTTTTTGGGAAGGGAAACTTCCCAGTCTTTTCTTCTGTGTACGTCTTTAATAATTATCAAAGACAAAAGCATCTCGATTTCACAAGTAGGTTCAAGTCTGCAAAATGAAAAGGTTTCTTAAATTAGTCAATATAATAATACTTTATGAACAATCCATAGGAGGTGTCTCAACTGCTCGCGTTTGAGAGGGTAATTGATCTTTTCAGACCGTACTGACATTTTTTTTAGTTCGTCTAAAAAGGTTGTTTTTTTATTCAATTAGTTTCCTTTTGTTTTCAGTAAATAAACAAGAGATCAATTATTTACAACTTTTGAGAAAGAAAAATCCATTGGACATGTCTCATCAAAAACAAAATCTATGGACCTATCTCTTCTAATTTTGCTGACAAGGCAATGCAACATTAAGTCCAAGTCCTTGCTCCTTCCTAATTTTAGAACACTCCCCATAGAGCTTTCTTCAGAGCTAATGCAAATAATTCCATCTCCACCTAGACAGACACCCCCGCCTCCAAATAACATCCAGCGAAATGCAGATTCTCAATTTGCCTAGATGGATTATTGTCATCTTTGCCATTTTCGTCACCCTCAGCCAAATCCACTCCCATCCAGAACAGATACAACCAACATCAGATAATCTCAAAATTCATCACTATCTAACCAAAATGCTTCACCGATGGAAGAGTCAGGGGATACAGTCCCAAGAAACAGCACTGAAACCACAAGCTCTGGTTTTGCTAGCAGGACTCTTCTGCTTCATAGCTGCTTCTATATCCAGTGCAGGTGGGATTGGAGGTGGAGGGTTGTTTATCCCCATACTGACTATTGTGGCAGGTCTAGACCTCAAAACTGCTTCAAGTTTCTCAGCTTTCATGGTCACAGGAGGATCAGTTGCAAATGTTCTCTACAATTTGTGCACCATAAGTGAAAAGTTTGGTGGTAAGACTTTGATTGACTATGACATAGCACTCCTATCAGAGCCTTGCATGTTGCTAGGAGTGAGCATAGGAGTCATCTGCAACCTGGTCTTCCCAGAGTGGTTGATCACTATCCTATTTGCTGTATTCCTTGCTTTGTCCACCTTTAAAACTTTCAAAAATGCAATTCTCTACTGGAAAATGGAATCAGACATGGTCATGAGAAGTGGTGGGCGTGCAGAGGAAGATGGGGTTGGACAAGCGGGTGGAGTTAGGACTTGTTGCGAAAAAGGAGCAATGAAGAATTTCAGAGAGCCTCTGCTGAGGATAGAAGGAAGCGAAAGGTCCAGATTTCCATGTATGAAGCTGGGGGTCTTAGTCATGATCTGGTTTTGCTTCTTTCTTCTTTATCTTCTTCGTGGAAATCGCTATGGACAGGTACATCTCTATGTTCTCTCATTTGTTCTATTCGCTTTTGGAACTTTTAGCTGTCCTTCAAATTTACAGTGATTTTGAGCAATGTTTTTCAATCCTCTTCTGGTTTTTCCGTTTTTCTTTAAATGCAAGTTATCCACAGTGATGAGTGGTAGCTGCAGAACCCAACCCATTTATTTTGGGGAAATATTTTAAGCTTCTTAGTCCATGGAGATCTCCTTTTGGAATATTCTGGTTAAGTGTTTTAGAACATAATTATGTGGTATATTCTGTGACTCATAATGATCCGGGTTTGCATTTTTCAATTTTCATTTGTTTTTCCTTTTACACCAATCCAAAATGAAAAAAGTGAAATGAATCAAAAGCAACAAGAATTTAGACTTACTCATACACGGAAATCATCCACCATCAGCAAGTTAGCATTGGCCAAATGTTTGATATTGACAAAGCACTAACAATTGTTATCTCCTCAGATCTCACCTGCATGCTTTCCTGTCAATTTCAGTGCCATTTCACAAAGAGGCAATCGAAACATTAAAATAATTATAGTTTATGTTTTCTTTGGAACCCTGTTTTAAATAGACCAAAAGTTCTGGCTTTAGTTCATTAATTGTTATTATTAGTCCATTCTGTGTTCTATATTTGTGAAAGTGCAAAGTTGATGCAGGGTATTACCAGAATGAAGCCTTGTGGAGTGGGATATTGGGCTCTCTCCTTGCTTCAGATTCCCCTTGCCGTAGCTTTTACTGCTTGGGCCCTCCATAAAAAAGAGACAGGACCATGCCAAGTTCCTATCCAGCAGGTGCAAAACAAATCATAACAAGGTTAACCATAACTATGTCATGCATTTTCCAACTTGGATTAAATTCTCTTAAGGATTCTTCTTTGTTTTTTTGGCGAAGGGCATGGGAGACTTAGTGGAAAATGCATCATCAAAGAAGCTTATTTTCCCATTAATGGCACTATTAGCAGGAATCCTGGGTGGACTTTTTGGAATTGGAGGTGGAATGCTTATAAGCCCACTTCTTCTTCAGGTTAAGATAGCTCCTGAGGTAAATTCTGCTTTTTATTCTTCAACACTGGATCAAGAGCGTGATAGAGCTCCCCATTGGAAACTCCATTTGATTTAAACTTTCTTTTATCATTTGGTGCAGGTAACAGCAGCAACTTGTTCTTTCATGGTATTCTTCTCATCTACAATGTCTGCATTCCAGTACTTACTTCTCGGCATGGAGCACACTGGTACCGCCCTTATATTTTCCATCATCTGTTTCATTGCGTCCCTTCTTGGATTGCTTGTTGTACAGAAAGCAGTACAACAATTTGGGAGGGCGTCTCTCATTGTATTCTCAGTCGGAATAGTGATGGCTCTGAGTACTGTTCTGATGACCAGCTTTGGAGCACTTGATGTCTGGGATGACTACATATTGGGCAAGTATATGGGGTTCAAACCACCCTGTTGAAGCCAATTTTCTAAATTAGTTCAAGATTGAACTAACTTTTAAATAACGTTGAAATATAGGAGTAATGAAAATAAAAGTTGCTAAATAGACAGCCCAGCATTTAGGCAGGGCAAGCTTTTCTGCTATGGGATTCATTATGTTTCAGATACTAGTAAACAAAAAATGAAGTTAACCACAAGAGAATGAGGCTAATAGAATTTTCATCATAAGAAGGCTTTCAGAACTAGTAAAAAAATCTGATTTCATTTTAGCTCTGCATTAAAATATAAAATGCAAAATTTGACAGTAACCTAAATACAACCTGCCTCTGTAATATGTGCTCCTCAGCAATGGGGTGACAGAATCACCAAACTTGCTTAGCAGGAAATCGCAAGTTGCAAAAGCAATCAACAGTGAAGACTTAAAGTTTCCTGATGATATTGCCTAATGTATCACCCTCTTCCAAGGGGCATGAAGAGGGGAAAGAAGAGCCAAGAAGCAAAACGGCCAAAATTTATGGCAAGCATCTTCATGAACAAGAGTTCTTTGAGCTAAGAACTAATGTGGAATGCCAGATTATGCTAGTGGATGGCGGAGCATATGATCCTGTGATGAAACAACAGCAGGAGGCCTGAACTGCCACATAGAAACTACAGGATAGCCAACAAAAGGTACCATCTTCCCACCAACAAGTTAGCTTGGGTGGAAAATGGAGATGGGATAGGAGTGTGAGGCAGGAATCCTGGCCGAGAACTCAAGTCCAGACCTTGCCCAAGAGTAGAGTCATTCAATAAATCAAATGGCAAAAAATATTTGATAACTCCACAAGGAATCAAATAGCTTTATACCATTTTCAGGAGTCAGTTTCATTAAGATTACCCAAAATGCCAAATGAGTCATCAAATCCTCCACTGAAAAGAAAGAGGGAAACATATGAGCACACATATACTTCAAGGTTATTCTAGCTCAAGGTTGTAAAGGTCAGCTATCAACCAGCGAATTCTAAAGAGTCATATGAAAAGAAAAGACAAATATAGCTTCAAAACTTCAGAAATTTAGAGTGCAAACGAGAGAGCTAATTTCAATTTTCAAACTCGAACTTGAATGCTTAAGTTGCCAAGGGTTTGGGTCCAAAGACTCAAACTTGATAAACTCAAGAGCATATAACTGCAATGCGGTCATACCAGCACAGCATTATGCAGGTTAACATCAAACCCAAATGCTCTTGGCACTACATTGTAATAAACGTCTCTAGGAAAAAGAAGAACGAGTGACAGCATTATGCAAAGTAACATCAAACCCAAATGCTCTTGGCACTACATTGTAATAAATATCTCTGGGAAAACGAAGAAAGAGAAAGGTTAACCTGAGAGGAGTGGAGCAGGGGAGGGAATGAGAAGAACGAAGTGGCCCAGCAGGGTCAAGGGAGGGTAAATCACCACCGGCGACGGCAATGTCTTCTAGCAACTCATAATCATCAGAAACCCCAAGTAGTGGGATTTTCAGAGGACCCTATACGCTCACCGCTCGGTTGCCGGGATACCAATTTTCCCGGCGGAGCTCATTGGGACTGTGTGATTTGGCCAAAGGAATACAGAAATGAAACAGATTTGGTTGAGTTGGGCATTGGGATGGACATTGTCACTAGGGAGGGCCGCACCACCCACCACAAAATATGGTTGGCTAAACTGCAAACAGGGGCAGCCCGGGCAGGGCAATGGTTGGTTCGAGAAAAATCGAACCAAAATTTTGGATACTGGTTAAAATTTAAAACCATGCTTGAACCTTTTTTTTTTTTTCATTAAGATTTCGGTTTTCTTCATTTTGGTTCCCAATTAATTAAAATTTCAATCAATTCAAGACTCAGAAATGATTTTTTAGCAACTATAATATCAATCCAGAGTTAAAAAAGACAAAAATATCACTATTGAAGTAAGAATATGTGAAATTTTGTTAATAATATTTTTATCAATTCTCATTTTAAACAGATATTGTAAATATCTTTTTTTTAAATCGTTCTCTTTAAATTTTCAGACACTTTCGTAAGACTCCTTAGCAACACATTACACAACCTTTACTGTAACGCTCATTAACAGGGTGAGGACAACCACGGTGCCAAAAATAAGAAAAGAATCATAATCATAAACCAAAACAATTCACACTGATGACAAACCCAGGATCAAACACAGGGTTATTACAAGCATTGATGACAGTTGTTACAGAAACGTTTGAGGATGGAAAACACAAGCTCACACAAGATGCAATTACCACACCCATTACTCAATGCTAGCATTGCAACCATGGAGTTTACATGTTCAATAATGTACGTAATTACAAGCACTGATCAGACTACGCTTACATTTACGCGAGTGGACTGAACAAAACCATCGACCCTTTTCTTTATCTCTTCTGGATTAGCACCAACTAGTTTGTCAACTACAGCACCTCCCCTCATTATCACAAAAGTTGGCATGGCCTTCACCTCCAGTTTTTTTGCTATCTCCTATCAAACCAAACGCCAGAAATCAACAGGTCATGACTCATGACTTTACGAGGAGATTAAAGCAACTTGGATAAGAAAATTGGTCTTGAATATGTTGTTTTCAACGACAAATGGGAGTAAGAACACTAGCACATAAAATAGAGGATTACCAGTTGTATTATTTTCATGCAAAGTTACCTATGAAACCTGGTATTAAAGGATGAACAATTAAACATTGCATACGATGACATGTTTCATTTTAGCTGTCCCCACAGTGCAAATATAATATAAGACCTCTGCTACCTAAAATACTAAGAAGATCATCTTCATCTTAGCTGATGCTTATCCTTCGTTTCACATGTGATCTAGCTGGCATATATCTAGAAGCTACGAAGCAAATCAATATCTTCCTACCAAAAAAGTGTTGGCATATATCTAGAAGCTTCAAGGCAAATCAATATCTTCCTAAAAAAGAAAAAAAGTGTTGTGCAGTCAAACTAAACAACATAAATCATTAGATAGAATGAGGCCCTAGTATCAATCTCTCCTTCAATAGTTCTTGTTTTTACAGTCCAAATGACAAGAAGGAACTCATCATTAGATGGAATGAGCCCCTAGTATCAATCTTTGTTTTTTTTTTTTTTTAAATCTCAATATCTTCCTAATCCTGAAGAAGGTTCTAGGCTTCAAGCATATCTTCATCGAAATCCAGCTAGATTCAATGAAATCAAGCCATTATTAGAACATGTAGCAGAGTGTCTAAATGGAGGAAATAACGCCTGTTGGTTAAATGTGCTTCAAAACCTTTCTTTGAAGCTAATATCACAAGGAAAACGCAAGAAATCACAAGATTTTTCATTTCAAGGAACCGATGAATTACCTTAACTTCATCAACATCAACAGTCAGAAATAGAACATTTTGGTAAGCTGAGGCCAGTTCTTCAAAACATGGGTTCATAGCCACCGAGGGCATGCACCATGAAGCAGTAAAGTGTGCGACGACCTAATTTCACCGCCGCCACCACCACAAAAAAAGGAAAAGCAGAATAAAACATCAAAAGCATTAGTTTGCACTTTACAATCCATCATCAAAAGCCAAAACTTTCATTGTCACCGTGTAAGAATGTTGGTTGAAATCACAGACAGAACATGGGTCTTCAAGGAGCAAGATGGGTAATCAAAACCCACTAACAAAAAGAACAGAAATTCCGCACTTATGATTCAAGTAACACTTCCAGACATCCAAGGCAAAACGGTTGTGGAATTGAGAAAGAATCCAAGAAGCGAAAAATAAAATAAAATAAAACCAAACCAGAAGAGTTGAGAATCTTACAGGGCATCGTTGATTTGAGGCTTGGCTAACATAGAAGTCCCATGCTTCAACAGAGTCAATCTTGACAACTCTAGTCTTGTTATGCTGCTCTTGTCCGTCCATCTTCTTCCTTCCTTCGTTCCTTCTTCTGTAATTCCTTAAAAATGAATTAAGCAACAGCTATTTTGTTTGTTCTTCTCTTGCATTTGCAGCAGGGAGCAGCAGATAAGAAATATAAATGGGTTGAATGTGGGGCCCGCTTTCTCTCAACGTTATGCTCATGTAGGTCCTACTTGCCTTAACTACAAATTCCCCATAAAAAGAACAAAATGGAATTGGATATTGAATAGATGGATGGTTTATCTAAAGTTACATATTATGCTTATCTTATTTATATTAAATTGGATAAGCACCTTTTTTTTATTTCTTTGATAATTGGGTTCTTCTCTATTCTATACTAGATCTCTCCAAAGTTGAAAGAAAAATATCTAATAATTTCATTCCTCTTTTTTCAAATACAATGGGCGTGTCATTTCCTTCTCCTTGTTTGTTTTGTTTTGGCTTTTTCCATTTTTTCTGGCTTGCTTTCCAATGGATGTCATTGGCAAAACAACTGGCGTGCACCAAAACAAAGAAATGGTTTAAAAGTTGAGTTCTCCATTTTGCAGTTTTCATTATAAAAGGGAAAGTAACAGCTCTAAATATTAATAGACTTATTTTCTTTTAATAGTATTTTTTTATATGTCAAATTATATAATAAAATTAATTTTTCTCTTTTCAAATCTCCTACTATCTACCCCAAAATTTAAACAGAAAGTTTTTCAAAGCGGAGACTCAACTTCCTCTCTTTTAATCGTTTAATTTATATAGTTTAACACAATATAAACCATATAATAATTTTTTTTATTATGATTCTAAACATTTCATTAACTGACTAATAAGATTTTAAAGAAAAATGGAATAAATCCTGCAAGAAAACTACTGAAACTTCAGGTGCTAAAGAAACTTCAGATGTTTAGAAGGTATAGGAGAATAAAAATGAAAATCATCATATTATGAATAGGCAATAAAACTTGGTGATTCTTTGTTTCTGTGTATTCAACAAATGACGAATCTTCTCATACAACACGGAGCCAAATCCAACCTGTCTGTCAAGAGACGAGCCAATAACGACATAAATTTAATAAGAATACAAATTAGCAAACCCAAGCAGCTGCTCTACAAATGATGGTACATATCCAAGGCACTGTTATTACACACACTAGAACCATATTTTGTTGCTCTTACTACAAACCAACGATTTTAGCCATAGCTTAGTCTGGAATCTGCTGGTCGCAAAGTCATCTGGCGGCGAGGGACTCCAATCTCACAGGCATTAACCCTAGCAGCAAATCGGAGGGAGCACAGTGACTCACCAACTGAAGTCGGATCAGGGGAAATGTTTACAAACATCAAGGTTTTGGAATCCCCACCTAGACACGGCTGTTAAATAGAAATAGAGTTAGCAGTGTGCAAACTAAAATGGGATTAGTACCTAGAACAAATGTCTAAGGTCAGGTTTGAGGCAAATATCTATACCTACAGATAGAAGGAAAAATCAACAGCCAGTTTACCTGAAGGAGATATGTTAATTTGGAGTTCCGGAAAGGTACATGGTCTTCTTTCTTTGCCAGTGCAAATACAACGTCACTCAAACAAGACAAACTCTTATTGATGGCCTGCTTATAAAAAGTAAGGATCAGCATAATCAAAACCCAAAACAGAAGAATCAAGCCATTCATTAAACAAATTTCCAGAATTTACACCTGGGTCTCCTTCAAACGTTCCCCAGTTGCCCCACTCCTTGATAGTCTCTCACTTCCAGCAAGATCAATTAAGTTTAAGATGCCCTGGACTTGTTGCTCCGTGCTCTAACAGAACAAGAAATAAATGTCAGCAATGAACAGCATGTCATTGTATGTTAGCCATGCAAAAGATTATTAGGATATCTACCTCGTTCACCCCAGATATTCGCAATGTAAAGACCATATGGCTTCTTGATGACTGCTCATTCATTTGTGTCTTTCCCACAGACCTGAAAATTCAATTAAAATGTCTTACTACATTTACATATTTCATAGTTAAATGGATATTTAGAACAAAACTTATAGGGTGGCACATATGAGACACAAAAACTGGCTATCTGCAGTGTTTGATAAAACTTGAGACATGATAACATGATAAGATAAATAATTTGTACCTTCAAGGCTTCAAGCAGTTTGAAAAAACTTGCCATTTCAAATTTGAATAGATCTCTGAAGCATTTACCTGCTTTGAGCAGCCTGGTGTAAAAGTGAGGAGATTTCAGTAATGCTGCCAACATCAACAATAGTGAGGTCGCTGACATGTGTATTCCCATTTGCATCATGTTTAATGGTGTATTGCTTTGTAGAAACACCATTTTCTGGACGTGTTTGGTCTGAACCACACAATCGATGAGTTGACAACAAATCACGGATGGTTTCATTGTAGATTTCCAACATTGAGGCCTACGAATTGCAGAAACGTGGTCAAAAGTTAAAACTGCAATTAGCCATCATATATAAGTGAAAAACAACACAATTTTTTTACCTGCATTTTGTATTTCCATCCCTGTGATTGAAGGGACTGACTGCTTTGGAAAATCTGTTCCAGTGAACGTGGAATTAATCCTTTCTGTTCTGAAGCCTCTGGCCTTCCCATCATGGTGTAAGTCTTGCCAGAACCAGTCTGTCCATAAGCAAATATGCAGACCTGCATGAAGGAACAGCAAACCAAAGTTCCATTACTGCAGATTACCTTACATGAAAGGACAACTTCCATTTAGCAAAGCAAAAGCACTGAAATTCATCCACTTCACAGCCACCTGATAACTTTAGTAATTCACACACAAAGCATTTTCCATATTCATTTAGGCAAGAGGTGCAAACTGCAAAGCATATATCGAGTAAAGCAACTTGGAAACGTGGATTGCTGGCTACCCATTTTTCTAACAATATTACAGTGCTCTGAAAATTTCCTTTCAAAATTGCCAAAAAAATAAAAAGAGGGAGGCATAACAAAATCACCTTATATCCATCAAGTGCACTCTGTACTAACTGTGAGATTTCTACAAAAACATCTTGCTGAGAAGCCTCATGTGTAAACACTTTGTCAAATGTAAAAGGATATTTTTGTCCTGCTGACAGTCAAAGAATGATAAATCAGCCTTCAGATTCGCAGATGCAGTTAAAATGTAACTTGATGACAAAAACCTT